TTTCGGTCTCCGTCGCTAGAAAAGAGACTGGGTGGAGCTCTCCAGATCCGCTGCCGCCAATCGTCGCAATTAGAGGTACTGTCCATGATATCATTGAGGCCGGCTAGATCAGGCATGATCATAGACGTAACAAGTACAAGTACTATTGACGTCGACCTTCAAGTGCTCACGTACTAGCAGTCACGAGGAGAAGCGTTGCATGCGGACTTGGGTCACTACAGACTCGTATCAGAGTCGAAATGCTACAGCGGCGAAACCCATGGAAAGAAAAAGAGATCTTAATATGGTTACAGAAAACTTCAACAAACTTCAGGAATACGCCGCGAAGGCGAATTTTTTTCGTATGATCTGGAGGCCTTTGTATGCTCCAAGTCCTCGTTTAATGTATTGTAGGTTACTTTGTTTTCCACCCTCTCTCTTTCTCTATCTTACCTGCTTCCCTGCATCAAATTCAGGCGAATTGACGGATCTGCGAACTGCTCTCGTTTCAAACATAAATCTGGCCATCGTGGCAGTCCGATTTAACATTCATCGTTATCTGGACCAAACGGATCCTGCCCTGTGGAAAAACATTGGCGAATTCGCCCAGGTTGTCCTCGAAGAACCCTTCAAACTCTGGCAGTTAGAGGTATGCCCTCTCCATTTCCTCTTCTCCTTTCCCCATTTAGCTCTCCTAACATGAGGAGGTATCTGTTGCCAGCCTGTTTTCATTTGTATCAGTCCCTACGCCTGTCTCTTAGGAATCGCAATGTCGCCATCGTAACCTTCTTTCGACGGAGGGGGTGGATGCTCCAATGAAACACTTTTATATCAACTGTGTGTGTGTGTGTGTGTTTGTGTGGGAACTTCGGTTGGTGATAAAGGATTCTCACAACCAGTACTGTACACGGAGCCCAAACTTGTTCATTCCGGTCAGCCGCAAATCTGCCGTACCAGGTCGTCATTCGCCACACAAACCCTCCTTGTTGACCCTACGCTTACAGGCCAGTCGATGAGCAAAACGCAGTCAGACAGTGTTGTTTGCTAACGTTGGCTGTGACGAACGCCAACTAAGGCAGTTGGTAGAGCCTAAGCTCGTCAATAGTCAGCTAATAGACCCGAGTAGAGAGTCCAGGGAGGCTGATCCTGGGGTATCGTTCCTCACTTTCTGTCCTGGATTTATCGAATCAGACCTCACAGTAAGGCCGTCCATTGCACCACCGCCAATGCGCACTTCTCTGATTTAGCCGTGTCGTCATCAGGTTGTGATCACTGTGCTCAGCAGAGACGGGGTTCAGGGCCCGGGACTCGATGGACTCAGATTGCAGTGAAGGTCCCC